GTGGCATGAACAGGCACTGTGTCATCCCATGTGGCAGTGGGCTAGGACTGCTCTCATTAGAGCCTTCTTTGCAATCTGGAATCCTAAAGCTCCAAGGAGGAGATTGATTCGCTTTACAAAGTTTGGATCCTGGCGAGACTGTGCTCATGTGGAGAAGTATATCAACAGCTTTGTAAGCATGAATCATGATGACTGTAATGAAGTTTACAAAAAACTTCATGGTCGTTTCCAGCCTGTTGCCACTTGTCTTGAATATGTTATAAAGGGAACACCAGTCATTCAGTCCATTGAGAGTGTGTGGAATGCTGTGACAAAACCAGCTGGTTACCAGAAATCTCTTTATAACCAACTGGAAAGGATTGCCAATAACAGACATCCTGGCTTTGTGAATGAAAGAAGCACTCTTGGGCTTTTCAAAACAATTGCACTGGAGTACTTCTATGGAGGAGTATCTCATCTCTTTACTGATAAAAATGACTTGGAAATTGCTGAATATGGCCTTGGTTGCTTGGGCACAGCTTATGATAATGATGCAATTAATGCAGAGAGAGTTTCTGAAACTTCAAAAAAAATCTTGGTAGCCTATGTTAATGAACCAATGGTCTTTGAAACATTAACATTGCATAATTACTTTAAAAACACTTTGGAACAGGGGATTCTGGAACTAATGTCTATTGTAAGAGATGACAGTATGATTGGAAAGATGTGGGAAAAATATATTCCTGCTGAGTTAATGTGTATGTTTGATGGAAAAAAGGTTAGTATGTTTATTACTGCTATTAATGTAACTGCAACATGCTAACATGTGTGATGTTGCATAATGACAGATTGTCAGTCAACTACCTGTTTTTGAAGGTTTTCAAGGGCGTCCAGAAATTCCAGACATCTACCACCAAACTGCTACAGTCATCCAACCTCTCAATTACTATCCTCTTGTCAAAGAATCCACTGATGACTATATAAACAGGATAATGGCACTGTTATTGAAATTGGTTATGGCATAAAAAAAATTTTCATCTCAAAAGATAAAGTTGATCACTTAAATGCCATTTATGGGTTAATGCAAGTATGTTGGAGTTTTTTTTTTTATCAATTTATAAAGTTGAACCACCACTATTACTATTAACAATGTATAGACAAATATGGTTAAACGTGTTGATAAGTTGACCCATTTCCATGACACAGTTGTTAATTTAGAGCCATGGGGAGGAACTCAAAAACCATCAAATTTCAATGAGCTGTTAAGATGTTTGATCTGTATGTTAACATGTCTAGAGGTGAACATTATAACATCTAGCAATATGTGTATTAATATGTGCTGTACTTTGTATTTGTTCACACACATATCATGTATTAATATTAGTGTATTAGTATGCTTAAAATATGTATGGATTCCTAATACTAATTATAATGTCTTAGTCTGTTTGCTTTCTCAGAAATTGCATGGATTGAAACAAAACCCTGTTATGCACAGGGATATTTGTTGGCTAAATATAATCCAGTATGAAAACAAATATATTTTAATTGATTTTGACTTTGCTACTTATTCTCCTTCAGAAAATGCCATGCTGGACTTTAATGCAAGTGATCATGCTCCTGAAATGTTATGTGGAAGACATGACATAGGGGTTGAGAGTCATGATTATTTATTAGGTAATAGTAATATTTAACCAACAAATTAAAATTACAATTTATCATTATAATTATAGTGGTTTTCTGCTGATGCGTGGCTTGATAACTTTGAGAATGAAGAGTGAACATATGTTAATATGAGACCAAGACAGCACTCTATTTTAGTTGATGTCATATTTTTAGTCAGTAATATATGAGACATTAACACTTCTTTGACATTATTATTATTATGGAAGAACTATTCCAAGAATTAAAACTAAACGGCAATAAAAAAATCGAAGACATCCTAACGAGACAATTAAAATAACTTCTTTTGTTTAATAATATTGTTGCGGTCGGCGTATTTAATTAGGGAGATTTATGGGAGAGCGAACTGTAGGCGGTTCGGCCGACAGGGGAATCTGACTCAATTAACTCAGCTATCTCTGCCCTTACTCGTGCAGTTGACAGTAAAGTTATAATCAGCGGAGAAAGGGATTTGGTATTAATCATAAAATTTTCTCTCTCATTTACCAGGCAAGCAGCGACAGTATCAAATAAGACTGAATGCTAAGCTACAGTAGACATTTTTTATTAATTAATTATGCGCGCTTCCTAATTCCTGCTTCCTTAAAAGAAGCTTACATTACGGACCAATAGCTAATTCGTAAATAGACAGTAGAATTAAGATTTCTGATGTGCTGTTACTAATGTAGCATAGTAATAGTCATTCTTGAACGTGCCTTTAATTTCTTCACAATGCAGAATGGATGTTCTGACCCACATGGAAATCAATGACACAAGATGGGTTGTCAGCAAATTGTGTGGCTTGAAGGACGCATGTTGGGGAGTGTGTCATCGAAGAATCGTCGTTTTCTTTTCAATGAATCCATCAATATCACCACCAGATGGCCTTTTTTCTCACGAGACCTTAATTTCTTGTTTTTAGTATGTCCATAAAAAGATTATGATTACAAGAAAGAGACAGGCTGCCATGAGTAAATGCGATGTATGTTATTCTACCCTACTCTATATACACACTACTCTATGTGCCCAACGCTCGAGTCACAGAGTCATTACCTGCTTGCGACTCCAAGATACGCTTGACATAACGAACTCGGTCAGCATCATTTTTGCATGCTTCCAGGACAGCAACTGCATCCTCTTCTATTAGAGCGAGACGCGAAATTTCTGAGTATAGCTTCATAGCTAGACAAATGTTACGTAACACGCTGTATATTAATATTGATGGTGTGATAGTGACTATATAGAGGTTAAATTGCAACATGTGACTGTAGCGAGAGTGACCATATAAAGGCGCAACTGTAATTAAGGTGCCGCTAAAATTCTGTCGCTGATATATTTGACGACATTCAATTGTCAACTGTATTGTACAGAAAGAACGTTCTTGCTTTGCGAAAGATACAGGAACGATATTCTATAATCCATCGATTGGTGAACAAGACAATCCTGGACATGATTCAAACAATCTTGAGTAGGAACTCTGTGTTGATAGAACAGTTAAATTTCTTGGAGCTTTCATTCAGTATGCGTCTGAGAAAGGTAACTACATAGAACCCAAGTGATGAATTGCTGATGGTTGAGATTTATTATCCTGGTGTTTACTTGTTGGTCCATTTTTATAATCTGTTGGCAGTGACGATGACGGGACTTTATCATCCCGTTTAGTGCAAGAGCTAGCCAAATATTTACTAAAGGAATTGAATCAAAAGAGAAACTAGTACGATTGCGCATTTGCCAATTACTTGGTCATTGTGCTTATGCCCTTGATTCGATCAAGTTTGTATTATGAAATCCGTATCGTTTTAGGAAAGGCAGCGGGATTTGAACTAATTGCGTTTATTATTTATTAGCGATTCATTGTATAATAAGATGCGAAAGAAGTTGACAGATCGTATAGACGACAAGGATACTGGCGTCAGAGTCCAGGCCGTTGTAGCACTATCCAAGTTTCAGGTGAGTGCAGTTTGTTAATTTGTAAAATTAATTAGTCTGTCAGCATGACGCAAATGAATTCTATACATGCAAGATAGTAATCATAATAGAATATTGATGCATGTATTTAGGCAGGATGTGATGTCGGAAATGTGACAGTCGTGAAAATTCCTTCAGTATAATCCAAAAGCGTATGTATTTCATTAATATTTATGGACCGTTGGCAAAGAAATGCCAACAAAAACAATAATGTATATCTGCAAACGACGCGCTGAACGAACAAAGCAAACTTTTTTGTAGCCGACAATCAGCAATAGAACTGATCCACTATTTGGAGAATAGTTACGAAACTCATTAACATTTGCACTGACGAAAATAAATAAGAGTACGATTTTGATATGACAATAAATCTTCGTTCTACAGTCTCATGTGGACGAAAAAGAAAATTTTCCTCCGGGTTATTCTGACCGCGATGGTGGAGCTGGGGAGGTAGTTATTTCCGTAGGCATTATTTTCATGTTTATTTAAGCAATATAAGCAGACTAGTAATAATTGTTCCTTCTCAGCATCGATAACGCTTCCAAGCACCGATGTTAGGGCGAGTGTGAGGCGAAGTATTATGTAAGCGTTTATTCGACATGTCATCTGTCACGTTATATTTTTATTTTCTAGAGTATTTGTTTATTTGAAAATCACACGAATTGCTCAAATCTTTAAATCAAACAATAACAGTGCTCCAAAGGTTAGTTTCCGATTAGTTATATTATTTCTTATCGTTTCTACTAGGAAATAGTTAATAAGTATCAATTTTATTCTTAACCTAAAACCATGTCTAATCCGATTTCTATAAATACAATATAATTGAATAGTATCTACAGCATATGTCTATAATATATAAGGCACATTAACAGGGATGCTAGAGGCCATATTCGTCTAATTCACTTGATGAACAGAATCAGATAATGAACGACGACCGCCAACCCCAACAATTGCAATCCATCGTGAGCAGCGTCAATTATATACAGTTTTATGGGCATCGAATATGTTACATATCGACCAAACATTATTGAACTTGTGGCTAAATAGTTGAAAATGTCAGTATAAAGGCAGAACAGCGGGATAAAGGAGCGTCCTATAATGCCAGCTCGAAGCTCGAAAGTTCAAATATGCTTACCGAGCCACAAGACCATAGCAACAGTGGCGGTTGTCGCGAGATCATCGATTTGACATATCATCAGTATGTTATAGACCAATACGGTCAGCAATGGTGCTGATGAGAGACCCGCCTAGGATAACACGAATAACTAAGTACGCTTGCCATCAAGCGATAAACGAACAAAACTTTACATACCATCGCTCTCACTAGAGGTAAACCGGAAGCAACAACTTCTCGCTCAGCAGGCGTCAAAAAGTCATCGTGTGTCAAGTCGATTTGTAATTTACCGAACACATTATGTGCATAGTACACAGACGTCAAAACTGCAAAAAGTTCGGTCTGATTTAGTATATAGAACATATATCGTCATCTGCCGAGAGCATATGTATCAGTCGGGTACGTTGTCTACTCACCTTGCGAGACCACTATTGTTGCTACAAAAGTTGTGAAACTTGGTATTCCAATATTATCTATGCTAAAATCCATGCGATATGTGTATTTCTATTACTGAGTAACTTTTTTTGCTTGTGATGCACACAACAGAATAGGAGCAGTAGAAATGCGGATAGAAATCTTACAGATAAATACCAAAGAACGTATTTCCATTGTATTTATCTAAATTTCCAGCCATTGCAGGCAAAAGAGATAACGATCACATCCCGTGAGCTTGCTCCCACCATCAATCTCCAATAAGTGGGGTTTTCCAAGACTCAGCATTAACCTATCATTGGCCAGAATTTATGGGGCATATTTCGATGATGATAATAAGAAGTATTAACGCCACAAAAGATTTCTTGGGGTTGAGTATTAGTATGCACCGAGATAGAAAAAATATGTGGGGGCGATCATAATGCGCGTAAACTTGAACGGTGAAACGTTCACTGTTGTAGGTTTATCATTTCATACAGCCATTCTCTTTCTCTGGTAATAAGAATGTTTCTGTACATTCTAACCAATCGTTCATTTATCAACATCAGTAGATTATCAAACACGATCTTGCATGCCGGTGCAATCGGGCAGTCGATACGCATTTGAATTTCAATAGCATTGAATGAAGCTAACGTCATGGTGGTGTAACAGACATCCCTGTCACAAAAGTGATGCGTCCCAGGGACAGCGCCCGGTTCCACAGAAAACATTACACAAAGATTAGTTAGTATTAGTATTAGGGTCCAAAAGTTTGCCCGCAAATATTTCATTTGAAATCGTTAAAAATTTAGTTATCATATTAAATAAAACAATTAAATTTATCGTCTACGTTCTTGATTAGACTCCTTCATAGGGAGTAAATATAAGGAATTTTTTAATTAGACGTCGAATTTATCCGATTTAATTAATACACTCTTCGACTAAGGACTATTGTCAATATCCAGTCGTTGTGTCTATTGCCGACAGGCTAGCTATGAAAATCTAGCGTATCAGATCAGACACGAAAGAACAGTTCGGTTATCGGTATATTTAATTAGTATTAGACAGTTTAGCACAACATTGATTGCAAATTTATACTTTAGCAATAAGAGTATAAAGAGCCGTTTAAATTTTTATATACGCTTTAATTGACATGAAGCTTATGTTGAGAGAATAAAGTTCGGAACCGAACATAACAGTAAGTACGAATACTTGATACTGGAATTTTGGTTTTGCTCATTTTCGGTGCATACGCTTTTTTTTCATCATTGGCATACTTCTTCATTTTATTTTAAAAGTGTTCGCTTTAAAATCTTATAACATTAACCTTGTGTATGCTCTCGTGTGTGCCAATAATTGAATAATTCTATAAGATTTTCTTTTTTGCAATGGTGCATTTATTCATTCACAGACATTTTAACTAACTTTCCAATAATATCTTTGAATCTTGCAAACATTTCAGTGTGGTTCACGAATAGGCATTTATTTGAAAAGACAGATGATCGTGACAGGTTAGATTTAATCTGCCACAATAATTAAGATGTAATGATCATCGCAACCAACCAATTAACTGCATTGAGGAACGCGTTGCGCGTTTTAGTCGTATTAAATATGTTGCACATTCACAATTCACTCTACCGAAACCGTTCGATAAGAAATGCCTGAAGTTCGCGCGCAGCCGATACGTCGAAGCTCCGACGCATCCTCTTCGTCACGTACCTCGCATACTGCGAAACAAACACGCCGTGTCTCGGATATTTCCTCCTCTTCGTCACGTCCTTCGCTCACTGCAAGACGAATCTCGGACGTTTCTTCTTCCTCTTCTGCTTCCGTTCCACCTCGACGTACCCGCGACACGAATCAGCGAACTCGAAAAGTGGTCCCGACTTTGTCCACTCCATCACGTCAATCTATCCAACAGAACTCAAGCACCCCTTCACGATCGCATGCAAATCCGCTAGAGTTGTTGAGAAAGTCTGTCGCCGATATATTTGATGACATTCAAAAGTCAACTGTATTACATAGAAAGAACGCTCTTGCTTTGCGAAAGATACAGGAACGATGTTCTATAAATCCATCGATTGGTGAACGGGCTTTTAACAAGACAATCCTGGACATGATTCAGAAAATCTTGAGTGTCAAGAAGAAGGAATCCTGTGTTGATAGAACAGTTAAATTTCTTGGAGCTTTCATTCAGTATACGTCTGAGAAAGGTAACTAGATAGCATCTCTGGTGATGAATGGCTGATGGTTTCGAGATAGATTATCCTGGCATTTACTCGTTGGAATAATTGTAAAATACAGATGCAAAGGATAACGACTCTGTTGGCAGTGACGATGACGGGACTTTATCATCCCGTTTAGTGCAAGAGCTAGCCAAATATTTACTAAAGGGAATTGAATCAAAAGAGAAACTAGTACGGTTGCGCATTTGCCAATTACTTGGTCATTGTGCTTACGCCCTTGATTCGATCGAGTTTGTATTATGAAATCCGTATCGTTTTAGGAAAGGCAGCGGGATTTGAACTAATTGTGTTTCTTATTTATTAGCGATTCATTGTATAATAAGATGCGAAAGAAGTTGACAGATCGTATACACGACAAGGATACTGGCGTCAGAGTCCAGGCCGTTGTAGCCCTATCCAAGTTTCAGGTGAGTGCAGTTTGTTAATTTGTAAAATTAATTAGTCTGTCAGCATGACGCAATGAATTCTATACGTGCAAGATAGTAATCATACTACAAACTAATAGAATATTGATGCATATATTCAGGCAGGATGTGATGTCGGAAATGGTGACAATCGTGAAATAACTGACAAATTACTCGATGTACTGCAATATGACCCAAACGCGTATGTAATACTGTATAATGTATAACTGCTACTATCCCGTTGCGTGATTGCTGCTTTGCACTCTTACCGTTCACTTTCTTTCAGGGAAGTTCGTCGTGCGGTATTGACACACATAGATTATAACGAAAACACGATGCCGAAGGTTCTTGAACGTGCACATGACACGGACGCCACCATTCGGAAATATGTGTTCAGTAAATCTCTAGACGAACTTGAGGATTTTCGTTTCTTATCTATTGACGAGCGAGAACAAGTATTACGGTGGGGACTGAGTGACAGGTGAATTTCCGTCTGAATATGGGGGAATGGGTATGCGCTTGGTGATTAGGCGTCAATAGCTGTAATGGAAGACGTACGAATACAGATTGTAATAGCGATACACGCAATTGGCATTTGCATGATTGATACGCACTCTTTCCGCTATAGGGATAAAAACGTGAAGAATGCGTGCTCTAACCTTTTGACTTCAAAATGGATCACGCAAACAAATGACAACATATTTGAGGTATATTGATCAAATATATGTCTTTTTTTCACCTCTACTTATTTGCACTGATGGTTTATTTTATCTTAGCTTATTGGACGTTTAGACGTGATCAATAGTGTTATTGCCAAGGATGTAGTCACGGAACTTTTGAGGAATAGGCGGGATCTTGCGGAGAAAATAGTGTTTGATGGTATGTAGCGTAAAGGTTTGATTTTATCGTCGAATATCACTAAACCTACTGCTTCTTATATTCGCAGATGAGTTCTGGGACAATTTGACAGTTGAAAGAGCATTCCTTGCGCGTGTGTTTTGTGAACATTTGAAGGAGGTACGTGATTTTTTCAATCAGTTATTTGATTAGGACTCATCCAATAACTATGAGTAATAAATCTTACAATTGTAAAGGATGAAAACCAACTTGGTGAAAAAATGCCCGAAGTTACGCGTCTTGCTTTATGTATACAAAACTATAATAATCTGCTGAGCCAGTCACTTGATGACGAAGATACAACTGTGAAGTACGAGTTTATGCTTGAACAGTTACTAATAATTGCGACGATGCTAGATTATGGCGACGAGGGTGGACGTCGCCAAATGAATAATCTATTGCGTAGGTTATAACATCGACTTGTGATTTAGCGATGGTGTTGATCAATAGTAACAATTGTCTTTGGTTTGTATCGCAGGTGAAATGTTGATGTGTGACATTACCGATAGTTTTATCGATTACATTGTGGAAACTATGAGAAAGATGGCTATTGACGAGCGAGACTTCAATCGGTATGTTTATCCGTTTATCTACGTAAACGTATTCGGTTTGAATATATTTTTATTAATCTCTTCCATATAAAAGTATTATGATTGAAATAATTTCAGATATAAGAGAAGGATATGACAATGAAACAGGAGACAACTTTGCTGATGATAGAAGGTCGAGAATGACTTTAGACGATGATGTAGCATCTGTAAGGTCAAGGTTATCGCGTTCAAGTATCCACACGATGGAAAATATCAACGAGGATGAGGATGACGCAGACGAGGAAATTAAGTCAATGGAGGCAGATCTGAAATCGTTAGCAATTATGAAATGTATGCTTGAAATAAACGAACAGGTTAGTTAGGATTTTGAACGTGTGCGCGTACGAAATACTACTGCTAACACGTTTTATTGTTCCTGGACTATAGCAAATAGACGACACATCGCCGGTGTTTGCTTTATTGAGAAATCTTGTCGTGCCTAGCATCCAATGTTCCGAGCCAGTATTGCGTGAAATGGGGATGCACTGTCTTGGTCTCACTTGTCTTCAGAATCTGGCAAGTAACGAGATGGGTATTATTCTTCATAAAACATTCTATTGACTTTTTCATGGTTGTATTATCCAGCTTGTCGCTATCGAGAATCTCGACCTGTTTTTATACTGCTCTCAGAATGGGCCTGATGAGTTGAAAATCAAGTGCCTCATGGTAAGCCAATGATATGCCTTCACACTTTGTATAATTTAAAAGAACTTGACCTTATTTTGTCTTAGATCTTATTTGATATAATCCGTGTATTTGGCTATGCTAACATTGTTGAGAGAAGTGGAAAGGTAAGTCTATTATTGAAGATTCGATAGTGTCACGGATGCTGTAATATGCTTGTTGATTCACGAATCAAATTGTGATTGACAAAGGCAGATGAGTTTTGTAAACTATGGAAAGTGTCTTTGGACCATGATCTTCCAGAAATGCAAGCAGTAGCAGTAGAAGGGATGTCAAAATTACTTTTGACTAGATCATGGGAAGACAAAGAGGTTAGTATTGTAGTGGCTTGTGATAATGTTTCTGGTTCGTGACATGTAGATTTTAATGTCTGTCTTATTGGCAGACCCTCCGTAAGCTTGTATATCTATATTTCGATCCAAACACAGCAAGTAATAACAGGCTACGACAGTGCTTGAGCTATTTTTTGCCAGTATATTGTCACTCATCTTCGAAGAACCAGAAAATAATGTGTGAGGTAATACGCCAATGTCTGGTAATAATTTCATATTATTATGATAATATGGGATGTAACAAACAAATTTCGTATTTAGATATTTCCTTCATGTCTTGCGGAGCTAATTAGGACGCATAAACTGCTCAGCAAGCATTATGAAATGGTGCCACCCCTTCAGATTGCTCAACAGATGGTAGAATGGACTGATCCGAACAAACTTGTGTATGTATTATCTTCATCAGTGATAGTACTTATGCAAGTGCTCTCACACTTATTCATTTATTCTTAGTATAACTGGGCGTGATAGTGAAGCCATCGACTCTGGAATTCAGGCCGACGTTGCAATTGGTGTATTGAAACTTGTATACACCGAAACAAGCAGTAAGCATAAGGTTGTTGTCGTGCGTTTAATATAATGTTATATTTACTTAATACCTGCGTTGTTTCGTAGAGGAAGTCAGAAAAATACTTTCCCAAGTGTTAACAAAGTTCCACATCGACGAGCGCGTTGGCCAAGCAAGAATTAAGCAACTTACTCTACTTACCGGAAACCTAAAAACCGTGAGTATGGTTATAATATGCTCCTCTGATTTTTAGGATAACGATTAACTGGATTTTAATTGGTTATTCAACAGAGACGGCCATTGAAAGAAGCTGTCGGAAAGAATGCATTAAATAAATTTGAGAAAACGCTTTTACAATACTTTTCTGATAGTCCCGAATCGTTAACCGAAGAAGAGCTG